TCGTCACAGCAGGAGGGACAATTTATTTCTCTATCCAGATCCTCCGCCCAGCAGGAGGGAGCAGATGGTGGACGATATGCTGAACAGTAATAAATTGGTTTAGAATTCTTTGTATTTAATTCCAGCCAAATGTTTCTAAATTATACCAATTTCAAAATCAGGTCTACGTTTGTATCTTATATTATTAGAAATATATACCACAATTCCACCACCTGCCCTCAATGTGCGATCCTTCCTTTCCATATCAAAACCATCAATATTCAACTCAGAATCACTAATGTTATCATTCAAAAAGGTTTCACAAAGTCCTAGAATATTAAGAGTTTGTTTGTTTTGGAGCAGAATTTTAATTTCTTTAATTTTGGGCATTAGGTGGCAAATGTTCAGGTTCCCAAATTTTAAGCCTTTTTTAATCAAACCAAATTCATTATTGCTTTTTACCCTGTCATTTTTTGTTATAAATACAGTAGATTTGTCTTTGTCTGAATGTGAAACCTTCTTGGTAGCAGTTCTATTGATATTCCTATTTTTCTGAATGATTTTATAAGAATTAGATAAAGTATTTGAATTAATACTAGAATTTTGAACAGATGCACAAGAATATTCATAAACACGACATGAACAATAAACCTTATTACATTCTGAGCATAAACTATTAAGAAAAGAATATACATTATTAGGGCCCCGCTCTGCGGGCGCCCTATAGTGATCAGTCTGTCCGTCCGTCAGTCTGTCCGTCCGAGATCTCTTGTCCGAAGCATATCTTCTCTCTCCTTGGCCCAATCTGGCTCATACTTCACCCACAGAGTGTCTTTGGGTAAAGGGTGTGCAGTGACCTTGAACCATGTTTCTAGGTCTAAGGTCAAAGTCATAATAGAATTATATGGAAAATCCTTGTCCGGAGCATATCTTCTCTCCTCTTGGTCCAATGTGACTCATACTTCACTCACAGAGTGCCACTGGTCAATGGATGTGCAGTGACCTTGAACGAAGTTTCTAGGTCAAGGGTCAAGGTCAAAAATAGCCTCTCTGTTTAAATTCTTGTCCGGAGCATATCTTTTCTCTCTCCTTGGCCCAATCTGGCTCATACTTCACCCACAGAGTGTCTTTGAGTAAAGGGTGTGCAGTGACCTTGAACCATGTTTCTAGGTCTAAGGTCAAGGTCATAGAAGAATTATATATATGAAAAATCCTTGTCCGGAGCATATCTTCTCTCCTCTTGGTCCAGTGTGACTCATACTTCACTCACAGAGTGCCACTGGTCAATGGATGTGCAGTGACCTTGAACAAAGTTTCTAGGTCAAGGGTCAAGGTCAAAAATAGCCTCTCTGGTTAAATTCTTGTTCGGAGCATATTTTCTCTCGCCTTGGCCCAATCTGGCTCATAGTTCACCCACAGAGTGTCTTTGGGTAAAGGGCATTCAGTGACCTTGAACCATGTTTCTAGGTCTAAGGTCAAGGTCATAGAAGAATTATATATATGAAAAATCCTTGTCCGGAGCATATCTTCTCTCCTCTTGGTCCAGTGTGGCTCATACTTCACTCACAGAGTGCTACTGGTCAATGGATGTGCAGTGACCTTGAACAAAGTTTCTAGGTCAAGGGTCAAGGTCAAAAATAGCCTCTCTGTTTAAAATCTTTGTTCGGTGCATGGTTTCTTTCTCTTATTAGTCTAGTCAGCCTCAAACTTTACCAATTGACGTAGGGTACAGAACATTTGTGAATTTCCTTCCATATTTTGGTACATATGCAACAGTTTTCATAGAGGATATGCAACATTTGTGATTTTTGTGCCGCTTTTTGATAGAGGGTATGGAGCACTCGTGATTTTCATGCCATTTTTTATTATAACAAGGTTGACATAGAAGCCCTTTAGACTCAAACAACACATCCCTTAATAGTACACAAGTGTTCCTCTTCAAAATAAACCCTTTTCAGCTCCTTTACTTTTTCATGTTCCTTTCTGAAAGCGGGGACCTTTGAGATGGCCACCATCTCAATGATATCTAGTTGTTATTAATTAACACTCGGGAACTGGTGACGGCTACACTTTCATTGCCTGTTTCCTAGTGGCTATGCGGACAGAGCTTGGTTTTGTGTCCTAGCTTTCCACAGTTCCAACAGTCCAGCTTTCTTCCATGTCTGCAGTGTCGCGATATATGGCCACTTTCCCCACAGAAATAGCAGAAGGTTGAACGGAAGGAATCATCGCCAACCGATGTTGTCATTTTTTTAACATTTGCTCGCATATTTCCTATTTTCAGAATATTCACATATCCTTGAAAATTTTTCAGCAGTGCTGCGGTACCTCTGTCTGACAGGTGGATTCCATCTTTCCAGTAGAATCTCTGTTTAAACTTTCCATCTCCAAAGAACTTTGAAGTAGGTATCACTGTGACACCATACATTTCACAAACATTTTTAATAATTCCATTTATATCACTGATGTCCGTATCACGTCTTGCTAACACTTCTGAAATAAACACATCTACACTGGGGTTCCGATTTTGGAGATCTGCAATTATTTCCGCAAAATCGTGTTCAATCCCCTCTGCATCTCGCTGTTTTGATGCATCATTTCCTCCAGCTAAAACAATAATACTCTGATAGGATGATACGTCCATTTTGGAAAGTTTTGCCCTTATATTAGAGATGGTTGCTCCTCGATTTGTGCTGACCTGTACTGTTGAATGCAATCTTCTGGTACGGATCCTTTGTAATATCGAGCTCCCAATGATGAGGACAGATTTATCCTTTGGTTTCTTTCCAGGTTGATTTTTCCCCCTTGTGAAATCTGTGGGATCGGATAAAGCAGGAGAAATCTTGATATCAGAAGACTCGCTGGTATCTGTCATAGTACTGCTACTGATTAAGGGAACTTTAATGTCACACTGACTATGCCTTGATACACCAGATCCAGGAATCTGAATTCCTTTTGTTGATGTCTCCTTTTCCTTTGTCTTGTTTGGAACTGTTTGGGTACTTTTTGTAAGAAAAGCTGTGGCCTTCCTTGATGCATTCAATTGTTGTTTAAGATCATTGACTTCTTGTGACAGAAGTTGGACAGTGTCTGAAAGTTCCTTAATGAGTTTTGCACTGTCAATGCACTGATGGCAATTCATTTGGGGGTGTTCATCATTTTGTGGGGCTTTACCTTTAGGAGTAGATGTACACTGGGGAGATGTGTCATCTATGGTCTTACATCTTGTCTCCAAATATATATTAGAGGTCTTCAAATCCTTGAGAAACTCTTGGCACCACGATAAATACGAGTCTCCTTGGATGCGAAGGGTATTTGTTTTCTCATAAATGGTAACTGTGACAGAGTCATCTCCAGATTTATAAATAGATCCATGTCTTCTTTTATCACGATTTTTAAACAGTACAAGTTCACTCTGTAGTAGGTCCAAGATGATAGGGTACTTGTCACCATCAAAAGTTATTGTGACACTCTTCTGATTTTCCTTAACTTGCAGGAAATCTGGCACATCTAAATCTAGTTTCACAGATTCATTTGGTAGATCATTATTTACAATAAATGATCTTGAAAATCCAGTAAATGAGTCCAAAAGAAGAGGTTAGAACTATCACTCAAACTCATTATTATTCCATTGTAAATACTAAGTATAGATAAGAAATGCAGGAGCTCTTAAAAAAACACGTCTGGTCACCTCGACTGCTTATCAGACTATGTATATGAAGATACATCAAATGCCACAACCATCACAGTTGCTTACTCGGTAGTGCACTTGCTCCGTAGTAGAAAGGTTGTGAGTTTTAATCGATAAAAAATAGCTAGCAGCTGTTCATGCAAAATGCAATGGGCACTTTGATGTGAAAGCTGAAGGATCCTCAAAGGAGACCTTCAAAACCGAGGCCCTATGTCACAACATGACCTTGCTCTCCACAGTAATAGCATGTCTGCACAGATGAGGGCCGTTGTTGTTGAAGAATTTTTACATGTGTGTTGTACAGCTTAAGAAGCAAAGCAGTACCGCGATCAGCCAAGTGGATGCCATCTTTCCAAAAGGAAGGGGAATTCCAGTGCTTGAATGATTTGCTGGTCTCGATAAGCGTAGCACCATATTCCTCACAAATATATTTTATGCACTCATTTACTTCAGTAACATCCGCATCACATCTTGGAATCACTTCCGATAGAAACACTGAAATTGTATGATTTCTCTTCTTGAGATCAGCAATTATTTCAATGAAATCATCCTGAATCACATCGATGTTGCGCAAGTTAGCTACATCATTACCACCAGCCTGGATGATGACATTTTTGATGGAAGATACATCACATCTCTGTAGTTTTGTGCGGATGTGTGAAATGCTAGCACCACGATTAGTACTAACATTCACACTAGAATCTAAGCCTCGGGTTTTGATTCGTTGAAGAATAGAACTTCCCATGACCAGGGTAGTGTTTTTTCTTTCCTTCTCTTGTGGAAATAGATGGAGAAATCCTTGTGAAGTTGCCTCGTTCTTTAGGAGTTGATATAGGTTGACTCTCTCTGGAAGGGTGTAAGTTAGGGTTGTCCTTTGTCGCAACCATTTTGATTTTCTGTGTGGGTTGTAAGTTTTTCCATACGGAACTGGCATATATATCTGTTGATGTACTGGTGTTTTTTTTTTTGTCGACACTAAAAGTACATTGGCTGTGTCTCGATATTCCAGTTTTAATGGAAAATCCTTCAGTTGAAGTTCCCTTCTGTTTCAATTGTATTCCCGGAGTTTGTGTGGAAGCGTTGGTACAGGCTTTTGTTTGTTGTGCTTCCAGAAGCTGCTTCAATAAGAACACTACATGTAACAGAAATATTGCCTGTCTACATCATCTCCGAGGCAGGGATATCGATGTTGGTGTTATCAAAAAAATATCAGGGGTATTATTTTTTATGTTTTTTTTTTTGAGAAAATGTGTACTACAAACACAACTTGGACATGGAATTTTATATATACATGTATCTCTCTATTAGTACTTAAAACATCACACTACTGTAAAATATATGTGTTCATTTATTTGACAAAATCAATTATGTGGACAATCATATGAACAGTTTTAAGACTGTACAAAAGAGCAGGTATGTATTTGAATTTTCATACATCTCATATGTAATCATGTACAATACATAAAGCACTTGAAGTCCACTTTAAATTCTGTACATTACTTTTTAGATCTACATAGAAGATAACTTAAAAATGTACATGTATGTGATCAATGAATTTGGCACACTTCATCACACAGGTTTTAATTAAGGACATACGCAACGTAGTTTGAACTTCATTGTCTTTTTCCTTGGAGTTGAAGAGTTCCGATACTTAATGGAACTGTGTGCTACATTTTAATGTCTATAAATGCTGTTGTACACTTCTTCTAAAACAAGTTTGGATAGACAAAACGTGTAGAATATATGTTTAGTAATTTTTGTATATTTTTCTTTGAATTATACAAGAATTTTCATCAATTGATATCTTTTCAAAACCCCTGGTATTGCATGCTGATTTTTCGTTTACGAATATCTGATGGCACTATAATCTTAAATTCACAATATCTTGAAAAATTATCAGTAGGTAAGGTACGTTGCGTATGTCCTTAATGCCACTGTCTGATTTACAGAAGTTGATTATTATAGTTCTTGGCTTCTCACTATTTTTTCAGATAGAATTTCATCAGCTGGATTTAGGTCCAAAGAGGAGGCCAGCATATCTAAATCATTCTTCAAAATATTCTTTTTTTGCCATCAATCCCCTGGTGGACTTACTGAAGTGTTTACTGTCATTGGCCTGAAAAATATGTGATATTTGTGATATTAGGTCATGATTTAATTTAAAAATTTTATCAAAGTAAATTAAGTTGATTAGTTTAATTTCTCTTCTTGCATGGACATTAACAAACAATCTTCCAAAGAGAATCTGAATATAAGTTTTGGTTGGAGATTTTTAAATTTCGTATAATTAAGAAACTCATCCTTGAATTATTTTAACTTTCAAACAGACTGCTTAAATAATAAAGTTAAATGGTTATTAATTCCAATATCAAAAATGCCAAATGTTAAAAATACAATGTATATACAGTTCTAACTACAATTTTGTTAACTTTATACAATTACGTGTACATCGCACGTACAAATATACAGAATACAAACTTGAGGAGCAAATTGTATTACAACAAGTTTCAAAGCAATTATTTTTTTTTTACAGGTAAAACAAAATAAATTGGCACTACTTAAACTTGAAAAGTACTTGCATCAATGAAATAGGGGCACAATTAGTAACTTAGAACATAATTTTGCTTTTTAATGTCAAATTAATGATCACAGTTTCAAACATTAATTTCTTTTTTCTTTAACTCCAGTAAAATTTAAAAGGAGCTATTAGGGCTGAAAAGATTAATCGATAATATTGATTCTGTGTGAGGATGGTACGCATATCAATATGTATGTAAAAATATTTAAATATCGCAAAAAAATTCAGGCGTTTTTCTTTGTTTACTTACATTTTGGGTTTAATATACACGATAAACATGTTAAATAGAAATATTTATTTAAAATACATACCGGTAATAATTTACACCACTTTTGTGAAATAAGTTTGTTTTACAACGGATATACAGCTTATTCTTTAAATAAATTATTCATAATTGTGAAGAAATGTTTTGTTCTTTTCAATACAAAAATAAGACTCCATGACCAAATCAAAATATTTGATATATATTGTATCGTAGCTCAAATATCATGATTGATACATATCAATGTACGTATCAATATAAAAAAAATTGTATCATCCCAGCCTTAGAACCCTTCCCATCCCAAAATAGTTTTATTCGACTTGGGACAACTTTCTTTTTTCCTTATTTTTTCTTGTAGCATTTTATTCAGGTATTTTGTAAGTTACTTTTCTGCCTTTTGAAAAATGTTGTTATAATATATCTGTTGAAAACCTTACGTACAATCTACTCGTAAACCAGACACAGGACAATTACATGATAAGGTACACTGTACAACTTAACTTCTCCCCTCAAAGCTAAGACTGCAAGGGTAAATTCCGTAACCATACTTTTGTTTAAGAGTTGACTTCTAGATTTGGTAGACTGGCCTTGCCTGTCTGATATGCACGATATACATGAACGTACGAAAGAGACAGGCAATACCAGTCTATAGATTTGGTCATGAATTGACATACTAGGTTTGAGTGGACTTGGTTATCAGTCAGTCAGGTTATGTATTGATTTGATACCATGTGAATTAACTACAGAAGACTGCATCTGAATCTCTAAAAAATCATACATTTAATTCTTTCTCAGTTGTAAAAATTGACCTTTAAAATCACATGGGTTTAAATGCCTGAATCGCTGAGAATTTTGAGTGTTTATTTATTTGTAAATCTGTTTCACCTCATCCTTATATAATCTGATAATTAAAAAAAAAACATTGTTTACATACCCTCTGAGTCATGATAGTGTACTGATGATCTGATGGTTCCTTGGGAAACGGCTTTTACAACTTGAAGCATAATATTTTTGCTGAAATATTCACACGATATATGATAAATTTTCATCTGGGTTTGTCATAAACTTCATCATGTTCATTGTCCATCACGTTTCCTTGCTCACAGTCACATGTTGAACACATTGGGGCTCTTCTCCCGAAATTGCTTCAGAAAAGGGATAAACCATCGCATCGTTGGTGCAATCAATACCTCATAAGAATTATCTGGATTGCAGTGGGCAACTAGCCTTTGTCAAACAACTCTGTTACGATAACTTCGCAAGATTTACTTCCAACTTTCTCTGTGTTGCCATTTTTGTTTTCAATTTTACGATTGGAATTTGACAAAGCGAAATTCGTTAAAAATCGCTAAATTTCTTTCGGTAAAAAATGTAAACAGATAAAAGAAAGTTATTTAATACAAAAAAAAAAAAAAAAAAAAAAAAAAAAAAAAAAACTTTTTTATGGCTTAAAATAGCAATGCTGAAATTAAATTATCCACTTCCGCCAGCATTAGAAGGATAATCCTACTTTCGGTAGCATTACTAGCATTGACCTAGTTTTGAACCAGCAATGGTAGCATCAGGATAAGGATCAGATCAGGATAACTAGCATTAAATCAGCAAGCAAAGGAAGCATTCAAATCAGCATTGATCCTGTAACAAAATTAGTTCCCTGCACTGTATACACCAGGTATTTTGTAAATCATATATAATTTATGACATTAAATTTGCTCAGTTGCCTCATTTTTCATTTATTAGCTCTACTGGTCAGAGACCAGAAGAGCTTATGCGATAGTAAGGTGTCCGTCCGTCTGTCTGTCTGTAAACAATTTTTCAAAACGCTACTCTTCCTACAGTTTTGGTCTGATTTCAATATAACTTGGCACACAAGTAGACTACACTAACATACATAATTTGTTGCAGCGGTTTTTGATTTCGATAAGCGGTGTTGCCATGGTTACTAAAAATAGAAATTTCTGTGAAATTCCTTTAAAACGCTACTCCTCCTACATTTTTGGTCTGATTTCAATATAACTTCACACACAAGTAGACTAAGATACATAATTTAGTGGATCAGTTTTTGATTTCGATGAACGGTGTTGCCATGGTTACTAAAAATAGAAATTTCTGTGAAATTCCTTTCAAATGCTACTCCTCCTACAGTTTTGGTCTGATTTCAATATAACGTGGCACACAAGTAGACTACACTAAGATACATAATTTAGTGCATCGGTTTTTGATTTCGATGAACGGTGTTGCCATGGTTACTAAAAATAGAAATTTCTCTGAAATTCCTTTCGAATGCTACTCCTCCTACAGTTTTGGTCTGATTTCAATGTGATCTGGCATACAAGTAGACTACACTAAGATACATAAGTGTATTGGTTTTTGATTTTGATGAACGGTTGCCACTGTTATTAAAAATGGAAATTTCTGTAAAATTCTTTTAAAACGCTACTCCTTCTACAGTTTTGGTTTGTTTTCAATATAACTTGGCACACAAGTAGACTACACTAAGATACTTAATTCAGTGCATCGGTTTTTGATTTCTATGAACTGTGTTGCCATGGTTATTAAAAAAGAAATTTCTGTAAAATTCTTTTAAAACGCTACTCCTTCTACAGTTTTGGTCTGTTTTCAATATAACTTGGCACACAAGACTACATTAAGATACATTATTCTATTTATTGCTGCATGTTGTTTCAATTGCTGCATGGAAGTTTCAATTCCAAGTGCTACTTGTACTGACCAGTAGAGCTACAGTCTCATCAGAGACTTCTGGTCTATAAAAGCTTAATAAAGATTCAGTATTCTGTAAAAATATAAATACATTTCAATAGCATGATCTTGTTTTTTTTTTAATTAATGCTTTTAAGTATCACAGAAGGTATGGTGTGGAGTTGTCCACCACTTCGTAAATGAGCATGAATGGAATACGGTATGTCCTATTTCAGCAATTTTTTGGTGCCAGCAGATGCATGCATGGTCCTATAGAGGATGGGCACAACAACTGACTAATTCATTTAAATACATAATATTAAATCTACCTTCCTTCCCACCAGTTGTTTTAACTCCTATTTAATGTGAACTGCATATGTTTATGTCTTTTGTTTTGTGCAGTTCAGTTCACGTGCACATTCCAATCAACCTCAAACTTCAGTGATTTCAAAATAACTTGTACAAAGTATTGTGTGTACAACAAAGTGTTTGTATATATTTTAACACAAAATATTCCTGTTATTTGTTCCATTGGTTTGCTATTATTTTCCTTGTTTATTTTTTTCATTGTTCTGTTGTTTTAGGGTTTTGACTTAAACTTTATAACCTTTTTAATTCCAATTGTCATGCTCTATTTATTCCACTGAATTGCTTAGATTCTGAAGCAGTTGTCCCATTCTCTGTGTTACTTTTATCAAAAACAACCATTGCAGCATTTTTTTTTTATTTCCTATAGATTAATACCGTGCTGCAATCGGTCTTTTTTATTTCTCTTATAGGTGTATGCAAATCTTTCTCATTCCATTTTTCTTTTTGTGCATTTTTATTGCATGTTCTCTATAGCATGATCAAAACATTCTTAAGATCTACGACAAGTATTAATAGTAACATGGCAAATCGTGTTGTATGGTTTTTTTTGCTATCTTTCTAAAGCATTTGACAGAGTTTGGCACAAGGGTCTTCTTTTCAAATTACAAACATATGGAATAGCTGGCGATCTTTTACTATGGTTTACAAGATACTTGAAAAACAGATCACAAAGAGTTATGTATAAGGATTTGTTTTCATCCAGCCTCAATATACACCTACTTCTCTGGGGCAATGAATATTTATCATTAGAGTTAAACAATGGCCTTTTTGCTGCTGTTCACAAGTTCATAATGAATCCTATCGGTTTAAATAGCTAAATTAATATATGTAACTATTTTATTTGTTTAAGTTTTTGATATTGTTTGAATGACATTTGTGTATTATTATGTGTTATATTAAGGAGAGGAACTTGTAAGTTGATAGTACTTGTTTCTGATCCTTTTGATTATCAATAAAATATGTTCAAAACAAAGCAACTGGCTAAAGAAAGACATTCATGCCCATACAGCTCTCATCCGAATTGTGTTAAATAAGCGATTTCTTAGCCAAATACAGTATGATGCAATAAATATTCGTACAAAATGGTTACATTCGCGACGAAAAGTTCTCTGCTTTAGCTAAAATAAAAGTTGGTTAAAATAGCTATGGCATTTCATTTGTTATTTTTAACATGCTAAAGTCATGTGACATCGAAAGGTCATGTGATTTTGTTGTCGTCTGCTGTATTTCCGGAAATCTACTAGTCTAAAAGAGAAAGGGTAGAAAGAGGAAGGAATTATCTGATGATGTTAAAAAAGCTGTGTGGAGACTCTTAGATCAAGGAAAGTTCATTCGAAAAGTGTCAGAATTATTAGGAATTTCTTTTACTACTGTTTCGAGTGATAACCGCCGATTAGAAAGGTTGGTGAAAACAAATAGAAGGGACAGTATGTTAGTTATTACGAACAAATTTAACGAAAATGTTGATAATCACGTTGCTAAACCACGGTACAACTCCATCTTCACAAACATGGGTACTCGAAAGGTGTGTCTAGGAAAAAAGTTGTTGTAAAAAAGGGTAACAGGAAAAACGATTGTCATGGTGCAGAGAAAAAAGACGATTATCAGTTGATAATTACTGGAGTAAAGTGTTTTCGGATGAATCTAAAATTATGATTGGACATAATTCCCGTGTATATGTGTGGCGCAAAAGGGACAAAGGATGGAGTCCTGATATAATGACACCACGACAGGGTAAGCCATGTTATGTGATGATCTGGGGATGTGTAACATGGAACGGTGTGGGAACTATAACATCTGTAAATGGCAATATTAATGCTGAGAAGTACAAGGAAATCCTTGATGAGAACTTGTGGTCAGTTGTAGTCCGTCATTTCCCTACCGAAATTTACATATTTCAGCAGGACAATGCTCCGTCGGGCTAAAAGTCTCAACAGTGTCTTCACAAAAATAATATTACAACCATGAGCTGGCCCGCACAGAGCCCAGATCTTAATGTTAATTAAAACCTGTGGCTGTTGATTAAAAGGAAGCTTCAGACGCGAGTGGGGAGGATCGGGACAAGGGATGACCTCTTCCGCGAGATTCAGAACATCTGGACTGGGATCACAAAAGACTATGTCAGAAGCCTCTACCGATCGATTCCTCGCAGATTTCTCAGTGTAATTGGATTGAAAGGACATTTGACAAAGTATTAGGTGAGTTTAAATTGTTTTATTAATTTTGAAAACGTCTTACGTACAGTTTTTAGACTGACCTACTTTCGTCGCGAATGTAAACACGCCGAACTTTGTACGAATATATATTGCTGCATCATACTGTACATTATTATGTGAATTTCAGGTATTCTCTCCTTTTTTCATTTTACACTGATTTATACTTGTCACAATCAAAATTTAATCCCGATTATTGTTTTATTTATGTTTATGATTTTTTATTATTATTTTTCCTTTACGGGACCTCTTTATTCTGTTACCTGTAATGAACCTCAAATTTAGAAATTGCAGGCATTGGTCAGTTACAGCCTATTGTATTTAGAGTATTTAAATCGCTGCATTGCTGACCAGGTAGCCGGGGTCCACGTTTTCATACTTTTTACATGCTTGACGTACAATCCAAGATGTGTAGATAGGTAGTTTTTACAACGGTAACCATTTCTCCATGAGGGGTAAGTTAAATTTTCTTATTATTAAGTGTTTTGATATTGCATTAAGATTTGTTAACTTTGTAAGAAAATGGGTTAAGTAATGTTTTTGTTACTGTTTACGTATACAAGTTTTGCTGAGTAGAGTTACTCATGCGTGTAATGTTCTGGTTTTGTGCATGTACTAAGTTATGTACGCACGCAATGTATTTTGGGTTTTTTTGCCGCTTATACAGTCGGTGTCGTGGGTTTAGTTGTTAAAACCACTTGTGTTAAGAAATTGTGTATTCTTAACGCTGTCTACATATATAACAGTGTTTGGTTAGATTTACTGTTTGTACGGTGTGCCATTTGTGCAATGATAGTCAATGGTGACTAGTCTTTTTTTTAAAGGTATACGTAACCTGTGACTTAAAAATGTTATTTAATTTAAAGGTTCCTGATATAATCCTGATAATATCTAGTCATGTGTGTGTTGGCAATGACGTTCAACAGACCGGAGACCCACTGGGAGCCAGTTGGCGGGAGTCCGTCGTGAAACGGGGCGTGTCTGGACGTGGTTGTGAGCGAA